GCAGGCGAGGTGGGACATAAATGGTATTTAGTGACAGTCATATATTCGAATTAATGTCTATCATATATTCTATTTAGTGATAATCATTAAATCACCCAATCATAGGCATGGAATTATTGTCAAACACTAAATCATTTAATGACAAACACTAAATGATTTAATGATAGACACTAAATCATTTAGTGTCTATCATTAAATCATTTCGTGTTTGACAATAATTCCATGCCTATGATTGGCTGATTTAATGACTATCACTAAATAGAATATATGATAGACATTAATTCGAATATATGACTGTCACTAAATACCATTTATGTCCCACCTCGCCTGCCATACACGGTTGCCCCACTCTGCCCGCGCAGTAGTACCGCGCAGTGCTCCATGCAGTGGTTGCTTACCAGTAATACTGTAGGCGGCGTGCAGGCATTGTGCTTTCGTAATATATACACCGCCAGTGCATAATTTTCGAGCCCATTAACAATATAGACATAAAGGCAAGTGTCAAGTAATTTATTTCTTGTTATACCACCGTATCGTAAAATATCGATATCCGGAAGTTGTATCGCGATATATCGAGTTTTCAAAATATATTGCAATATACCGATATACCGGTATATCGTTACACCCCTAACCTAAATGCTATTTAACCGAAAGATGTTCATTTTAGGACAAATTTATCCATAATATGACTGAAACTATATGTGGCTTATAAAATATTACAATCCCTTTGCTTTTAAATTAATAAATAAGAAACACCCTCACCCACCGGTCTGTAGCCCTTGGCTGAAAAGTCGTTTTGCACAACTTTTCAGATCGTGCACTTTGAGTGGCGCCACCGCCATTGTAATCAAACTGTAGTCGTTAGTTTTAAAACATTAAAAAAATATTTCTAATGGTGATTAAACCATGAAATTTTTTATGTAGCATAATTTTAACCTAAATTAACTGAAAATAACCCTAGAACCTAGAGTAAAGGATCCCTTTAATCAAACAACTAAATTGTAGTAAATGGGCATACATACTGCCATGGCAGTTGACTTGGTTTCAATTACTGATATTTTCATTTAAGTTGGGATGGTATTTTTATGCATATTATAGCCGTTTAAATTACTATAACTCCACTTCATAGTGATTGCAGGTAATTATATGTGCGCTTACTCTCCAGCTTTATCGTAAGCTTGTGCTGCACTGTCCGCAGTTCCCTGCTCTCTGTAGAGGGCAATGGCCTTCTCTATTAGATTAATAGCTTCATCAAGGTCGCCTTGTTCTCGGAAAACATATGCGGCAGCTTCGTAACACCTGTAAGCATAGTCAGAGCACAAATTAACAACATGTACACCATAATTGGATAGATTACAGAAGAAATCATAGCTTCTTAATCAATGCATAGACTATTATTCTTACTTGAATCTGAAAAGGATATTAACAATTGAAGCCAGATAAATATACGGTATAATTTAGCAATACATATTACTTTTATAGATAATGCAGTTTAATGAATTCTCATTTGACAAGAGGACATAGCATATTGCAACCTTACTATATACCACTGTATCAGTAAGTACGTAAAGTATGTAAGTAAGTATGAAATATATAACAGAGATGATGGAGAAATTCGCCATCTATATTCAAATAGCAGTTGATAAATAAAGGTGTATATTGAAGAACGATTGATGAGATAGAGAAAAATATATAAAAATTGCAACTTACTTTCCTGCATGGTATAAACTGCAATATGGTTAAGTAAAATACCATGAACATCACTTCTAGTATAATAACTGCCTGTCACAGGAAATAGTTGAATGGGCGTGAACAGTTGAATCATTGTGAACTCAGAATTTGACTTGAGCTGGGTTGCAGATAAACTTAAAACCAAAAGGATACTTTTTGTTTTCTAAGTAGGCATCAGCTGCTTTCATGTAGCAGTCTCTTGTTTGATCAGTAGCTCCTGCACCTTTAAATGCCATCGCTGAAACAATCAGAGAAGTGCAGAATTCCAACAACAGTTTATCACTCTCTACACCAACTGGATGTAGATTTTCCAGAAACCTAGTTATGTCTTCAAGACAGGTAAAGCCACACCAACTACCTAACCAAATTTTGGCAACGTTGCCAATAGAATGTGAATATAATATGGTGACATTAGTAAAGTAACTATACTGAGCTCTACACCCTTATTTAACCACCATAAGTTGTACTCATACTCATTGGGTGTATCAGTAATTAGGCTTCCTTGATTTATAATTTAACTTAAATATAATTAAAATTATATTTATAACTTATTTAATAATACCTGCTTTCTTGTACTCATCTGCTGCTCCATCTAGATCTGGTTTCCATTGGAACAATGATGTCTTCATGCTGGATATAAATAGATGCATTGCCATAGAAACACTACGTACTCTGTTACTGAATAGTGTCTACATCTGTGTCTACCAAATCCTGGCTGCATTCACCAAATTGAAGATTCTGCCAGAAAGGAAATTTGAACTTTAAATAGCATTAGAATTTTTTTTTAGTTGATATATGGGCACGTTCTATGTCTATGACATGTGTATGCCTCTAGGCTAACTCTCAAGTCTCCTCCTTTAGAGATCTTTAGTATAGTGAATGCATGCAGACAGGATTTGGTAGAAGTAGAAGCTATTTACTATAATTTAGAGTTCAAGAATACCGAGGATCAAGTTTGGGACCCCTCAAATGTGTTCACGCATATGTGCTAAACTAAACTAATGAACAGTACTTATTAGGTTTTACCTAGATACAATAATGTAACCCAACAAGAGTAGCCCGGTTACAACGCGAGCCTATTCTTTTCTTTGGAGGAGCCCCTGAGTGATTCACTCAGCGCGGTTTTATGGTGTGTTTTTCGAGACTAGAACTTCCAAACTGGGTTTATTCTAAACACAAACCTTTCTCCGCTATCATGGGACTTACTATGTATCACAATACTCTGTATTAAACTAATATAACCTGTTACAAAATTTCGAAGTGACGAGCGGCGATATTTCGAGCGCCATTTCTGTTGACCTGTGACGTACGCATTCCCAATGCGCATAGCATTTGGCTACCTTCGGCTCCTGTGTTGCCTGACATGCTGGCTCTGGTGATGTCATGACTGACAGCAGGCATCCCATGATGCATTCGTTCTTGGAGCCGAAGTTAGCCGAACGCTATACGCATTGGGAATGCGCACGTCACAGGTCAACAGAAATGTTAAAACCTGGCTCTCAACATTGGAGACTGTGAATCTCCCGTGGCTCGGATGACCACGTAAAATGGCGGTCCCGTCATCCAGTATTAGTAAATATAGTAATACTAAGCCAATGGGGACGTAAAAGAACCACTGAGGGGCGGCAAAAAATACTTGCTGGCTAGTGACACCCTGCAGTGCCCATTCAGGCTAAAAAAAGGCGCAACTACCTGGGCAGTACCCAGCTTAGGTCAGCACACCATGGCTTAGCTATACTGGACGTGTATTCGGCTTACGAACTGTCCAGTATAGAAGTAGAAGTAGAAGAAGTACGAAACCTTAAAACAATCATTTCGAGAATTTTGCTCAGAAAAACGAAATATAGCTGAAATATAGATAGTTCACCGCTGACAGCGAAAAATATCACCGATTACACCAACATTCAAAATAAGCAGCGCAATATTTTATGCAGTTATAGCATAGAAAAATTTGATTTGACCACATCATACGCAGCATACATTTTTTTCGAGTCAGGCTTTGCAAAATCACAATGGCGTCTGCAAACAAGTGAAGCATAATTAAAACTAAAGGGGCATGCTATTTGTGTGATTAAGTATTCTCGCTGGCGTACGCAACGAGGATTTGATCTATTTCTCTCTGGCCGTCTTGCGTTATAGTGCCCTAGGACTTTTGAAGACTTAAGTTTTATGACTCATGAGGTTTAGCAACTTACCAGCTCTGTTTGATGTTACGCTACTATGCACTCTGTGTTTTAATATCTGACGCAAAAATATCTGCGGCGGTGCGATTTTTTGCATTAGCTGTCCGCAATTGTTAGACCGTCTGGGACGCGGTAGCGCGCAAGAAAGTGCGAGACATGAAGCGAAAATCAACAAGAGAACGGCAAATTGTAATCGTGCATGATTTTGTCTTTGCATGCGGTTCTAAGACATTTTTATTGTTATTTCACAACAATTACTGTTACTCAAGCAACAACGGTAGGCATCATGAGAGTGAGAATAAACACTAAAAAACGCTGAAAACAACTCGCAATGATCGCTTTAATATTGATATACAGTAACAATGATAATAACATACATAATTTATGTATTTGTGCAGTTGTATGGGTGCATTAAAATTGTAGCTTTCACAGAAACATTTGAACGGAATTTATGTGTAATTATTGGGCGATAACGAGTACTTAACCATTAAGACTTTAGTAGTAAATGCAATTTGTGTTTATTTACCATGAATTGAATGCATCATTTAAATTTTTATTATTGTCAATATTGACTATGAATAATCATAGGCCATACTTAGTAATGAAACATTACTAATGACAGCACGCATTGCTATCACGAAATTATCTGGATAAAAATAAACATCAACTGCAAGCATAATTATAAAGAAAAATATTATGTTTACCATTTTTCAGCCTCGCGTATACACGCTAAACCCTCGGCGAGTTTTTGATCATCTTTTCTCGCCATTGCTTCTGTAGCCGCGCCCTCTATAAACAAAGTTACCACAAAATGCACAAAACACATTTCATTATCTGATTGGTTGAGTGCGTAGGAGGAAGATTACCACATGTTTTCTGATTCGCTAAGCAAAATTCGTTGGTTCTGATTGGTCTGAAAAGTAGGGGCTATTTAAACGCACGAGACATTTAAACCTACACTACACTGTCTAGGGCCTACACACCGTCACACGCCTACAGTCGCCTACTCTTCACAAGCTGTGCTAAAATTTATTTCTCCTGTTTAATATATTACAAATGGCTTCTCAAAATAGAGACCCTGCGATGCCAGACGTGAGGGCAAAGCCTGCGACTACAATTTCCAACCTGAATTCAAAAGAAAGCCATTCTGTAACCAAGAGGTGAGTAAACATTTCAGTGATTTTCCAAGAGGCAAGACCTTAGTCCGTAAGTAACCCGTAACGGTAAAGGTGCGGTAAACTGTAAAGGTAGTAACGAACCGATACGCAGTAAACTGTAAAGTAACATGGAATTTTCACTTTCTCCGCATTCTAATAATTTGCTCATTCATTGTTTAGCTAGCTCCAAGAAGCGGTCTTTGCTAGGGTTAGGGGACCCAATATGGACACAATATTGTGTATATTGACGTTAGTCACACAGCCTGGTTGTGTTATATTTAGCCAGCAGACCAGCAATTTGAATAGTTTCAATGTCTGTACTGTACCTAGAGTGTAGTTATTCCAGCATGTTTTCATCATTTTAGTAATTTTTACCACTGGCAGCAAGATCAAGCCCGCACGTAGGGGGCCTACAGCACACACGCGCGCCATTGACTATATATATACAACATATATATAGTCGTATATAGTCGTATATAGTTGTATATATATAGTCAATGGCGCGCGTGTGTGCTGTACGTGCGGGCTTGATCTTGCTGCCAGTAATTTTTACCGTTGAAGAATGTGGGTGTACATGCGCGCACACTTGTCTACTGTATTAATGACAGTGTATTTGACTGACGCGTATCATTTTGCATTTCAGACTGCAACAGGAACTCATGGCGTTAATGGTAATATTTACTTAATATATAAATACTTAATTATATATTGAAACCCATTATAGATCCATCACCGGCATCTCTTTGCGAATATTATATGGAGCTGCATGGAGCATCGACGGCATTCTGGGGAAGGCAAATTCGCATTTTAGGTTCTTTGATGACCTCACAGTTTGGGGGTTACATCCAAGAAACTGCAGTGTCATACATTATTACATAAAGAGACCGTCATGTATACTGACGTTAGTCTAAATTTGGACCAGAACATTTCCCATGGGGCGTTTCAATCATCACCGTACAGCACGTGAAGTCGTGAATAACTATATTTAGAAGTGTGAGCAAATAATTTGCCAAGCCATTCAAGGATGTATACTATATATATATATATATATATATGTTTAAATGATGTGCGTATTTTCTTAAATTACTATTTCCTATCTTACAGATGTGTGGTGACAAAGGCATATCTGCATTTCCAGATGGAGACAACCTGTTTAAATGGGTTGGTACCATACACGGAGCTCAAAGCACAGTACGTGTCATTCTTCACATTAAAATTTTATTAGTTACCCAGCTGCACTGCTATAATCAAGCAAATGTATCAAATTTGGCAAGCCTGTGGCGGAGCAAAGGGCTATAGTGCTAGAGCTAGCATGCCTTGTGCAAACAGAATAAATGGAATACGTACCATGTGTTAATAGAAGTTGCTACGTATTTTCTCTTGCAGGTGTACGAGGGGCTGACGTATAAACTGTCATTAGAGTTTCCCTGTGCATACCCTTATCAAGCTCCCGTAGTGAAGTTCCAAACACCGTGTTTTCATCCCAACGTCGACCAATCAGGGAATATCTGTCTAGACATACTTAAGGAGAAGTGGGCCGCTTCGTATGATGTCAGGAGCATACTACTGTCAATACAGAGTCTGTTAGGTGGTAAGTACCCAGCGTTTCTTATGTATATTAAAGAGGCAGAGTGGCGCACCGCCGTTGTCAAATTTAACATTGCCATTGTGAAAATGCTACTCTAACAACCTTAAAAATAAATAGATCACCACGTGCTTCTGGCATATTTAGATTGGCATGTGCGTTTATTGAGTCATGTGATGTGGGGTCTACACTTTTTCGTTATTTGATAGGTTGGCGTGCCATCCTATCAGGAGTTTCCCCTTCTCCCTCTCTCTCCCTGTGTCCTCCTGCAGCGTCCGCATGCGTGCCTACAACACGCCTTTGAATCCATCATGCTCGTTTTGCCCCAAACTTGCCATTACCTCATTTGTCTAATTTTCCCTCAGAAGAAACCCCAAGTACCTACCTGTACCATTGAAGGGTATAATTGCATGGAAGTATCCATAGTGACTGGCTAGGTCTGTAGGTTTATAGATCTTAATGTGATGGGAATTATGAGTTTGTTATTTTTCATAACAATGGGGAATAAAACTTGGGAGAGTGTATACAGATTGTAATTGCTAATAAATTCATGTTTCGCGTTTCATTTCTCCATGCAGAACCGAACAACGAAAGTCCTCTGAATGTGCAGGCAGCTGACATGTGGATCGATCAGACAGCGTACAGAAAAATTCTACACGAAAAATACGAAACAGAAGTAAAATCTCGCAATTAACTACAGACCCGTGTAACACTTGCTGTACATATTTTAAAACACCTATAATTAGAACATTTGTTTATGTGAGAGTGTAGCCTATAGGTGACATTTTTACAGATGTAATACTGTACTATAAGTAGACAATTGACGTTTAAATAATGTGATGTGTGATGTGTATATAATTGTAAATGTCACTAGTCGCAAAGCTTAATTTGGTCGAGTTTAATCTGAACAGTTTGTATAAGATACTATTGCCTTCTTTACACATACACACAACCCCTCCAGTGGACAAGGGGTCATGCAGGCTTATCTCACAGGTTTCACAATATTGCAAGATGTAATTAATGTCTTGTAATTGACAAATTTAGGGAAATAATGTACCAATTTTTTTATATTAAACAATTTCCATCTTATGTTGCTAATATATTGCAGTGTATTTATATGGTTTACATCTTTTGTCAGTCTTGATTTAAAACTCAACAAAAGAACAGCTTGAGAATCCAGAAATTTATTTCTGAGTTTCACCAGATCACAAAATAACTGTCAAGACCATATAAAAAGTTGGAATGTTTTACAGTTTTATAGCCAATTTCTCGTGGGAACAGCATTTTACTACATCGTTAACTCTCCAGAAAGAAGGCTGAGCACTAACGAACAAGTGCCATTTTATGATTCATTTACATGTTCGAATTCCGGCTGTAACCTATGCTCGCTTAAAATGACGTTCTGAGCAATCTGCTATTGACTTTTGGTTATCTGCTGTGACTTGGACATGATAACTGGGAAAGTAATCACTGCTATAGTTTCCTTCACTGTAAACACAGCTCTGATCAGACACGACGGGTGCAAACTACATATGAATGTGGCCACCTATAGACACATCAATTCTCCCTTCATACCAGATCACATAAGCAACAGCTATCAGATAACAGCTAGCTTCTATCAGATGACATGAGCAATATTTTCTCAGACATTTTTAGGCAGTCTATCATTTATTTTAGGTGGTGTATGATTTTTTAGTGCTCAATATTATTAAAAAGATAATCAAGATTTTGGTTATTTCTCATTCAATTAAACCCATTTAATTGAAAGTAACAACAAGTTTTTTAAGTGTCACACTTCAACATTTTTTTAAACATTGTGCCTCGCATTGAGTAACCCAAGAATGAAGACTGGACAGTCTAACGACGTATTGCAGTGGCTTAGTATCTGTAGATCTCTGGCTTGTAAGGTCCATCGATAGGAATGCCCAGGTAATCGGCTTGGGCCGGGGTGAGCTTCGTCAATTTAACGTCAAGAGCATCCAGATGAGACTCCGCCACCTCCTCATCCAGCTACAACAACAAACAAGTACGCATTCTCAGACAAGAATTCTCAACGTCTCTACGCAGACACACCAAACTGTTAAAATAACATAAGAACATATATAATATGGAAAATTGAAGTGTGACCTCTAATATACTACCACGATTTTTAACGGTCACTAAGAGACAAATGCTTGTAGATGAACATCCACCCTCTCTAGGACAGGTGACTTCCCGAGGTTGTACTTCTTTTGGTTGCACCACAACTCAATCTGTGCCAGTACCTAAAGAATAGCGACAATTAACACTACACCGACGCATCCATCATTACACAACAATTAATATAGATCCCGAAAGGGTTGATCTAAATGCGCTGTTAATGAAAACATATATTAATCAGCATCGCAATTACTAGAAGCTTATCATTCTCTAGACTTGCAATGGTGCCCGGGGCTGCCAATTTGGAGCGGACATCCTAGCGGCCATACCCCACATCAGACAGGGCCTCCTCGAAAATCTCTACTTTGTCCTCCTACGACATCTGAACTCTGGCTACTTCTCTCTCTACCTGGTTGCCTGAAGCAGTCTCATCACAAAAGCGGAATGACCCATCGCCAGCACAGGTTCAGCCGCAGACTCCCTACCCGCTAAAGAAGACTGTAACGCCGTCTGGATCAGCGTACTAACGGTCACCTGAAATGAAAAAGGCATCTGTTGAAGCCCATCTATGCGAACACCCATGTGAAGTGCACTATAACAGGCTGTGAAGCAATTCAATTCTACACTGGTTTTCAACTCATCATTGGCGCATCCTATGACATGTAATGTAACGCATTCCCCTGAAATGTTTGTAAGATGACTCCATGAACACGTGTGAAGGTGACCTCCTATGAGCAGCTATGGAAGTGAAATCCTAACTGGACGCGTGTTGAAAATCATCTATAAATACAACTGTGTGCTGAAGGTCATTTCAATAAACACGTTGTCGAACAAAGTAACTCATGACATCGTGTGTAAGGTCAATCTATAACGCCGTATGTGAACGTGATTCAATAAATGAACGTCTGTGTTAAAATCATTCTATAAACACCTTTTAAGGTCATTCTAATAACCACTTGTGTGAATGATTCGCAATGACCTCGTGTGTAAGGTCAAATCTATGACAGCATGTTGAAGGTCAATTAAGATACAACGGCCGTAGTGTAAGAGTCATTCCTATGGACGCGTTCGTAAGGCAATTCTAGACAGCACGCGTGTTCACAAGGTCCATTCCTGATAACACAACCGCTGGTTCAAGTCATTTCTCATGACTCGTGTGAAGAGGCGGAGAAACGTGGCTGGTGAAGGTGATTCTATGAACGCGTGTGAGAGATCCTTGGAGTGGTGAAGGTCGATGGCTATAGAGCGGCGTGTGTGAGAGTCATTCTAATGACACACAGCTGTCGTAGAGTCCACGCCTGAGAGCGAGCGTGGGAAGGTGATTTCCTATAAGCGCAGATGTTGAAGGAATCTATGGTAACTCTGCATGTGCAACGTCGATCAATGAACGCAGTGTTGGAAGGTCATTTCTATACCAGTGTGGAAAGGTCATTCTAGAGCGTGGCAATGCCCATTCCTAAATGACCAACACGCCTTTGTGAAGTCCATTCATGGACCCGTGTGTCGAAAGGTCCATATTCATGACGCCGTGTATGAAGCCATTCAGAACACACGGCGTGTGGAAGTCAAGTCATGCCAACACAACTCTTGCGAATAGGTGCAATGTCTATGAACACAGCGCGTGTGTATAGAAACGTGCCTTCTATTAACCACACGCTGTAAGTCATTCGATAACACAACCAGTGGGTAAGGTCATTCATAGAAACAAACTGTGTAAGAATTCAATCTCATGGACTGTTTGTGAAGTGACTCTCATGAACAACTGTTGTGAAGTGACTATAACAACGTGTGTGAAGGTGATTCTATGAACACACGCGTGTGAAGGAACTCATCGCGATGTGTTCACTCATGTCATTCTATGAACACACACACGTGAAGGCACTTAATATATCGTGTTCACTCGCGCGGCGCACCTGCGGCTTGATCTGGATCTTCTCGGCTGCGTTCTCGTTGATCCAGGCGACGTCAATCTCGGTGTCGAAGTGTCCGATGTTGCATACGATCGCGTCTTCCTTCATGCGCATGAAGTCCTTGCCGCTGATGATGCTCATGCAGCCCGTCGCCGTGATGAACAGGTTGCAGCGCTCCACCGCAGCCTCCATCGTCGTCACCTCGTAACCTGAAGTCACACGCACGACGCACGCGCTGTAACACTGTTTTACACGTGTGAAATGGCTAGCTAGACAGAGCGTCATTGCTACATTGATGTATTAGAGAGAATGGTAAACGTGGTTAGGTTACAGATTAGAGGGTCACTGTGAAATTGCGGTAATGCGTGTCTGTGAGAACGGGTACATGTGCGGGCAGTATGTTTGTAGGAGTTTGGGGGAAATAGATAGGAGAGAGATGTAGGAGAGGATTCGGGTGCTGGGCGCGGAGGTGAGCACACGCGCGTATGTCGCCATCAACGTCGGTGCTCGACAAATTCTCGAGAACCAACAGTATTTTTGTATGGTTTTTTTGGTTTATTTTTGTACGTATTTTTTGTTGGTAACGTATTTTTGTGGGTGACGCCCAGAGGGTTAGAAAATAGAGAAAGAGGGTTAAGGATATACGTGACCGTTCGGGAAGTGCGCCTGTGCGGAAGTAACCTGAAGTCACGCACGTCATCAACGGAGGTTCGAGTCGGTGGTCGACAAATTTGCGGGAGCTCATATAACAGTCCACAATCTATTATCCAAAATTCTGAAAACCAAAAAGCTCAGAAAACCGAGTTTTTTTGTGTGGAGGTTGTCTGCACACCAAAGCTCGCGTTTGGCTGCACAAGGTTCATTGCAGAAATATTAACGTGTTTGGCATTACTCATATATATTGTACTGTACCGGTACAGAACTTGGCCTCTTGAAAACTTGGGTTTTAGTACTGGCTAGTTTGTATATATGTATATCTGCACTGTACTATCATTCCAAAATCTGAAAAATTCCGAATTCCGAAACGTGTCTGGTCCCAAAGGTTTTGGATAATATATTGTGTACTGTATACATATTTTTGTGGGTGACGCCCCGAGAGGGTTAGAAAAGAGAGAAAGAGGGTCAAGGATATATGTGATCGTTCGGGAAGTGCTGACATCAGGGTAGAAGAGTGTGCGGTATGCTGAATGATCTAGTGACAACTGAGTCGATCATAAAAGATTTCTGATTTCCATTTACAACAGTCAGGATTACACAGGCAGGCCAGTAGAAAGGAGATTTCATTAACTATGCAGATAGTACAAGTAAAAATTTAACCAACTCCCTGGTACAAACACAGGCCACAAGACCACCCAACGGTGAGATTTTAGAAGCTCCGGTTTAGAAAAGACAAACGAGAAATCTTTCGCAATGGCAGTGCGAAATGCGGCCTCGGGCGTTACCACTCACGCCGCCTACATCAGCACCCTCTACGTCACCATGTGGCGCCCTCTACAGCAGCACACAGCGCCCCCTACATCAGCACCCTCTACATCACCACGCGGCGCCCCCTACCTTCCATGGCGGCCTGCAGTGCGTTGATCGGGTCGATCTCGGCGACGATCACGCGGCATCCGAACCCTCGCAGCGACATGCAGCAGCCCTTGCCGACGTCGCCGTACCCGGCCACTAGCGCCACCTTGCCGGCGAGCATGACGTCTGTCGCTCGCTTGATGCCGTCACAGAGAGACTCGCGGCAGCCGTACAGGTTGTCGAACTTGCTCTGCAACGCGAGAGCGACACGACCGAGTGAAGATTCCAAAACTGAATTCGAAGTTCATGCCATCGAGCAGTAATGTCTCATGTGTGACAGACATTTCACAACAATGTCAATGCACAGATAAGATTCTCTCTCGCACTAAAGTCAAACATAAATTCTCCGATTTTTTTTCAAGTAAATCGTCTTTCTATTTACCTAGTAACTTAATAATCAATACATAAATTAATAAATATTAAAATTTAATGTTAATTAACGAATTACTTATTAATGCACTACTAACAAAAACGTGGCCGTGTGTTATTCAACCACACGGTGACCTTGCACTCACCTTGGTGACAGAGTCGTTGACGTTGATGCATGGTACCTTCAGGGTCCCCTGCTTCAGCATCTTGTTCAGATTGTGCACACCTGTTGTCGTCTCCTCCGAGATCCCACGAATTCCTGTAGTGCGGTGATACATATCGACACATTAGTGCATCCTACAGTGCGGTGGTGCAAGAGCTTTTCATCGAAAAAATGCCGTAATGTCAGTTTTGGCAATAGACACGAACCTCGTTTCTACAGTGGAATTTTCTGCGAAAGCCAAGGACACAATGAACCCACATTCACCAAAGTAGAACACCCATGCATTTCACGGTACCAGTACTTTTTCTGGAACCCATTGTTGCACTACACACTTCAAGCTCTTACCACATGCTGTTTACTATAATAAGCATTGACGGCTCCCACTGTGAGTGCACAACGTTCTACAATCACAGCCGTACATCGCATTAAATCTGCAACGTGTCGCCCCGCGCCTGACCTAACGTGCAGCGACTGAACGACAAGACGTTACTGTCGACGGCTATCGTACTGTCTCTGTGCGTTCGTTATGCGTCGACGCTCGTCCACGGTGACTCGTCCCGCACAGCAGTGTGCTAGCCAGAGACCCGTCTACCCGTCTTTTGGACGGCCTATTCTTGGATGAGACGGGTGAAATTTGATAGAGACGGCATGAGGGCGGCCCAATTTTATATATTATATACCTTGTATAACCGACAACAGTGCTTATAAGAATATAAAATCATATCAGGTTCGTGTCCTTTTAGCAATTCAGACTCAATTTCCTCCATTTTAAGGTAAGCCCCCCCCCCCTAGGGTGCTTCGCACCAGCAGCATCCTCGCTTTGCCCAGATAGCGAGACTGCCTGATTTTTTTGTTGCTGGCTAACACCCTGCTGCACAGTCATGGTCACAGCAGGGTTTCTTATACATAAGAAGCACAGTGGCGCACCGCCGTTGTCACAAATTTAACATCGCCGTTGTGAAAATTTTCAAATGCAGTCTAAGAATAAGATATTCAAATTTTTTAAGTTTGCTAGGGAAAGACCCCCCCCCCCCAGAACTCCCTCTCTCCCTCCGCATCTGCCTGCAGCATCCGCATGCGCACCTACGACGACACACCTTTGAATCCATCATGCGCGTTTTTCCCCAAACTGGCCTTTTGTCTAATTTTCCCTCAGAATAAACCCTGCATAGTCAGTCATAGAGCGCACACTCACCTGGGAGGAATTGTGAGAACTTTGTGTGCACGAGACCGGTGAGGTCCCCTCCGTCATCCAGGATCATGTTCAGCGGCTTACCGTCCGGCCACACCAGCGTCTGCGCAGACAAGCCGTACGATTATCGCACACGTTAGTAGTAGGCCATGGGCCAACACTGACTATTGTTCACTTTCGTTTGACACTTCATGGGACCAAGTTTAAATCTGGGTATAAGTTAAATACATTATTTTGATAATAAATCACTAAGGTTCACCCAAAAATTTGTTTGTTATTGGCTTTTGAAAAGTGTTTTTTAACCCCTTACTAAAACAGTCAAATTCAGCCAATAGGTGGGTCTATGGCCATGACCCATAGACTTTAATAACAATGGATTCCTCCCGAACGAATTTCACTTTTCACTTTTCTACTCACTCGCATTAAATTTAATGTAAAATTATTTGTGTTACTCGGGTTAACTTGACGTGAGGTAACGGGTGTTGGTGTAAACAGGTGGAATGGATGGCTCACGAAGACAGAAGGTATGGACTATGGAGGAATATTGCTAATATAGACCATTCCTCTTATACACAACCACTTCTTGTCAAGCTTGAGTCAACTGCATGTATTCTAGTGATATATTCAATATATCACTAGAAATTAGTAGAATACATGCGGTTGGCTCGAGCGTGACAAAAAGTAACTGCTAAAGTCCAAGGAACGCGAAATCTTTGTCGTTTCATGACATCAATCGTTGTCACGACAGATTGCTCAGAATGCAGCGAATCAAATCTTTTCATCGGGCATTTGTCTCACCTGCTCAATGCACCACATGTACTCCTCGTCTGTCTCCCCCTTCCACGCGTAGACGGCGACACCCGTCTTAGCGATGGCGGCAGCAGCGTGGTCCTGTGTGGAGAAGATGTTGCAGCTGGACCACTGAACCTGTAAACGCAAATGACACAATCGCATCCATGTTAATAAAAAAATGGGGGCTGAAAAAAGGGTCCGGTGGAGGGTCGGGGACGAAGCTATAGATTCTGTGCAATATAAAACACATTAAGTGACACGTTTTATTTCCTGATAAGATAGCAAGTAATAGATAAGCAATTTAGAAAATACTACAATCTATTTAATTTTTTAACATGAAAACTTGGATAAAACACAATATTATACAAGAATATATAACAAACATACATAGTTAAAATCATTAGATGCAATTCACTTTTAGACAAATTGTAAAAAAATTCTCAAGACGGAAATCCGTCTACACTAACAGTTATCGCCCATGCAATCGTCAGCCGCACCATGGTGATATTTTAGCCGACTCATGGTTACTTGCAGGATTAAAAATAACAATGGGTCCGTATGCCAGTTACAGTCAGTGAAACAATGGAAGCAACTCATGCTCTGTTATTGTCTTTAATATAAAGACCGTAACACATGTACTTCTACACTCAGACCTACTGACATCCCATAAACGTTCAATGAGAAATTTTATAGATTTTTTCCTTATACATAGAAAGGGTACTACTGTAGTATACAATGACCATACTACCGTAACTACCCTTTACTGGGTCAGGTCACAGGTGCAAACCGTGCAATCAATATACCTTTAAATACGTAATGGGATGGGGATGGTATGCTATTCATCCTAGATGCTGGGAAATACTGTCACCTTCATAAGCTGACCACAGGGTCAATGTGCTTTTACAGATACAAGCTTCTAACAGTGTAAGCACATCAATTTGAGTGTCAATTAGGGGTATAACGGTTCACTGACGCATCAGTAATCATGATACAACAGCCCAGGATACGATAATCGATACACAATGTCCGTATCGCAATACAAGCTAAATGATTGAATATAATTAAAGTATGTGTAAACTCCATTTAGGATTTATTTTATTTTATAAACGCCCACTTTTAGTGTCAAGTAAATATCCTCGGGTGTTATAGACATCTGGATCAATGTAATCATATAGCACTAATATTGCCACCAAAATTGTTAATGCAAAACCATCAAGAGTGTTGATTGACTGGTGTGCGTCATTACTGCGCACGTACTGTAGCGCTGCATATATGGTAAGCTTGTGAGTGAAGCCGTCCATCACAGACCTGTCAGTCTAGAGCACACTCCATTCTTGGTGTACTTTTGCCATAGAAATATATAGTAACCAACGGTTTACGGTTACGGTTATATATATTTCCATTGCTTTATTTTGAGTTTAACATAGTCGTAACAAGTTTGTGTGTTATGAAGGTATTCGAATACATAATATTATAACATTAGAATAACATTAGAAATCGATGTAAAAGTCAAATTACAATATTAACCGATCAGCGACAGAACACACCTGTAGTCCCAGGTGTTTATAAGAAGGCTACCAAGCATGCACTATCAGACAACGCCCCGTTGTCGTAGAAATCTCAAGTGTGTAAATATTACCGACATCCTGTGTCCTACTTAAAAGGTTCTCGCAATGATTCCACCCGATAGAAATCCATTCGATTTGTGACGGCCGCAACAAATCTCTTATCAGTTTCTTTCACGCCTCGCGAAAACCTACCTGGGCCACCCTTAAAAAATTGTTTGTTTCCCCTTTACCTACTCGCCTCTCAGGGTACCGAGTAGGTAGGTATGTGAAAAATCTTTTTTATTTTGTTTTGACAAGATGTGTGTATGTATGTTGCATATTCTGTTTTGTGTATATGTTTTTGCGGAACGAATTTGATTTTTTTTTGGCGAAACGAAATAACTTTTGTTTTGTTTTAATTGTCCAATAAAATGTGTCGAGTAGCGGCGTTTTGGCGAGTCGGTCGGTAAAGGGGAAACAAGCAATATTTTATCTTAGGCCCTGTCTGTTGCAGGGAGTCCCTGTTAAAGGGAGTCCCTTGTCCCCAATAAACATGTTTTCAACTGCTGGGGATATTGTAACAGCCCAGTGGGCCTCCCCTTACTAATGAGAAAGTTGGTAATTTTCATGAAAATAACATTCAAATGTTATTTTTACTTGAAAAGTTAACGTTATTATTTTACATGGTATAACAAAATTATCATAGCATAATATTTGCATTATCTCTCTCTCTCTCTCTGTGTGTATTGTGACACACATGGTGACCTGTGTAACAAGATGCATATCGTATATTGTGACCCTAGTGTATCCTTACACCTCCAGTTTTGACCAGATTAATCTAGACAGAGCTACAACACTGATTAGGCTTGATCGTATCAGTATAGCATAAACTGGTTACTCAAGGTACACAACAGGTACACCTATATATATAGCAACAGCAACGGAAACCCGCGATTTAGTCGCTGTGCAGCTTTTACCAAGATAACTTGGGTATAAAGAGCAGAAGTGTGCCAGCGAAATAGCCACCCAAGTCAGAGCGTCAAGGAATACGCAGTCCACAAAAATAAGTCAATAAAAGATAGGAGAACAAGGAGTATAAGGAACAAAATATTAAGTAAAGAACATAGGTTATGTTAAAAAATGGGAGCTTTTTACTTTCTTTTTAAATTACAGATCTATGGATTAAAAGCCAACCCGTTCCCACAAGTAATGACAGTAGGCATGAAAACTGACATTTCTTCCTCAACATTACTCACAAACGGTTTATTAATTGGCATTTACATGGCGAAGACACGACTCATTGAACTTTGGCTATTACCCAAACTCTCTCATATTTATTACCTTAGATCTTTGCTCTGCTCCTGCTATTGCCTAGAGCTGCTTTCTTTTATTCAGCTCTGCCAACTTTTTCACATTACAAACTGTTACCCCAACTCTCCTACATTCACGGCTGGCCTAGCCTTCCCACTTTAACTCTTCTAACCTACCCTTTTACTCTTCCTTTAAGTCACCTTTACCCACCTCTGCCCTCTCCTCCCTATCTCTACCCTGTAATCCTTATAATCCTACCTATAACTACATGTATTCAACCTAATTCTCTTGCACTTACACTACACATGTCTACTCACCTACACTACCATTTTACGCTTACCTTAACTCTTATTTACTAACCTCTGCCCTTTCTTTTTCATTTCTATCCTGGCATTCTCCTAACCTAGTATGCATACCTACTCTCACCCCAACTCATCTCTGCCCTTTCCTCCTCACTTCTACCCTGGAATTCTCCTCTCACCCCTCTCCCCCTCACTCACCCCTCACTCACCTCGGCTCCGAGCTCGCGCAGGGTTTCGATGAGCACGGCTGTCTGGATGGTCATGTGCAGGCAGCCAGCGATCCTCGCTCCCTTCAGCGGCTTCGTTGTGCCGTACTGCCGCCGCATCTTCATCAGTCCCGGCATCTCGTGCTCCGCCAGCTCGATCTCCTTGCGGCCGAACTCCGCCAGGCTCATGTCGGCTGCGGCGGGAAAAATCGAGCGAATGCTACGTTATTTTTTGTCGAGAGATTCGGGAGAAAATCGGGTGAACGTTCCGTTATTTTTTGTCGAGATATATATATATATATATGCTGATCTAGCGGTTTATTTTGTTTTATTTATTTATTTATTAATTATCCATATATATACAGTGTTATGATAAATTTTAAATTCAAGAATTTAGATAATCACCAAGGATATATATACACAAAAAGTATGACAAGAACACTTATTTACATTGCAATCCTCGCTAACAGCATCCTCGATAACACCAACTGCAGCACTTTGAACTATCGAAATATACTAGTAAAACTTGAAGTCATCTGCCTCCAACATTTCAACCGTTTCCATTAGACATTTTTTAAACATTTTAGAAAGTATTTGTCTTAATATGTAGTGGTGGATATAGCTCCAAGCCTCAATTGCACTAAGTAAAAGTTTTCCCCACTGCTTCCCACCCTTGGTTTGAATATTATATCTCACCTAAAGTAGTAGCACTAGTAGCAGTAGTAATACTAGTACCAGTAGCAGCAGCAGCGGTAGCAGCAGCAACATCAGCAGCAACAGTAGTAGTAGTACTCTACTGTACTAAATTTACAGACTGAACTCTCTCTAACACCTATGTGTGCTCTAGTGCCCAAACTAAGAACGCTGTGGCTATATGTCCGGCAGCCGGGCACGGTCTTCGATTTCCTAAATTCCCGGCAGTTCCTAACGCTGAGAGGGTCTATGTCCCCCAGGGTACTGCCGGAACGTACCCTGGGTACAGTCCGGTATACCGGACCGTACCTCTCCTACTCCACTAAGTCTAGAGAGTCGCCTACGCCTACATAACCCTAACCATATCAAATAGTTACCAGGGTACTATCTAATATGCCGGACCGTACCTCGCCTACTCCACTAACGAGTCTAGAGAGTCGCCTACACCTACCTAACCCTAACCATATCAAATAGTTTCCAGGGTACGTTCCGGCAGTACCCTGGGAGACATAGACCCTATGAGCGTTCATAACCCTAACCCTTGTTTAGTTGAGATAACATTGAAAATTAAAAACTGCCGGGCATTTAGGAAATCGAAGACCGTGCCCGGCAGCCGTCAGATATTTTCTAAGTGTCGATTGCGAGTTCGTTCGCCCAGTGATCCGAAGCTAGGAGAATTGGGCTAGTTCGAATATATACAGCTCTAACGAAAATCGCTTGACATTTCTAAACAAATGTAGAATACTTTGGATCACGTAGTACAGTTTACTTGAGAAATCACCGAAAATTAAAAACTGCCGGGCATTTAGGAAATCGAAGACCGTGCCCGGCTGCCGGGCATATAGCCACTCTGAACTAAGAACACATTTAATGGTCCTCTTTTGGCACACTTTTCGATTTACCAACGTCAATGCCCTATGTGTGAAAATCAAAGATCACCGACTTAATTAGTAACTAACTGATAAGGATCTATACTCACTCTAGCTCTAGAACTATAGCTCTCCGCTCTGCCGCAGGCGCATGCGCTGGAGCGGAGGGCTATAGTTCTAGAGCTATACTCACTCCTGATCTATTCAACTAACCGGTGAGCACAATTAAGTTGTGATTCAATGCGAAGGCCGCATCGCCTTGGGCTTGGGTTTGCAGTGACACAATTGATGCCCACACTGACGATTTTGGTGGATTTGCTGTGGGTTAGGTCAGAGCAACTTGCCTATACAAAACGTGGAATTTCTCCGATCCTGCCGAGGATCGCTGTTTCATCGCTCCAAACTCACAATTGGGGCTATCAATCAAGACCTGACGCACGTACAGATCGAAAACTGGATAACTTATATGCTTGCTCGCGTTGGTAAGTACACTTGTACTCTTTTGCCTTAGTCGTATTTTGATTTGAAAATTTGTTGCTAACAATTTCCCTCCGACATCGGCCATCCATCTTCCAATGCGTGACGTCAGGTGACGTGCGCGCAAGTGTCAGAGTGACGTAGCGACCGGCCGATGTCGGAGGGAAATTGTTAGCAACAAATTTTCAAATCGAAATATGACTAAGGTAAAAGAGTACAAGTGAAGTGTACTTACTTGTAATTACCAACGCGATCAAGCATATATAAGTTATCCAGTTTTCGATCTATGTGCGTCAGGTCTCGTCTGATAGCCCCAATTGTGAGTTTGGATCGATGAAACAGCAATCCTCGGCGGGATCAGAGAAATTCCACGTTTTGTATAGGCAAGTTGCTCTGACCTAACCGGCCACACCAAATCCACCAAAATCGTCGGTGTGGGCATTGCCATTGGTCAGAGGAATCTCGGATTAGGTTTGCGGGTGATCAGATCAACTAAAATAACTAGATCAAACAAGTGTCACCATACACTTTTAAGGTTGTATACATTGCTCAGCATTAGTATCGCAGATCAACAACTTACCAACTTTGTACTTAGGTTTTTGTGCCATCCTGTTTGTGTTTGTTTACTGGTGACAGAGAACTCCACAACGAATATCAATCCACGCCGGTCAACTGATGAATGAGGGTGATTTTCCAGCGCTGCACGTTTATATATATGCATATACTAGCGCCACCTGGTGTGATGACGTTCCAACGGAAATGATGTCACGAGGGCAGACGGGGTCAGGAAGGAAGGAACCGATCGAAGGAGTTTTGGTACAATATTTTTAATCAGCGATAAAATGAGTGAATATTACTATAACATCGATGCAGGATATTTGGAAGGTCTTGTCAGAGGATTCAAGGGTGGTATACTCAAACAAAGCGACTATCTAAATTTGGTCCAGTGTGAAACTTTAGACGGTACGTATGTCGAGTGTAATACTACGGCTGTTTGCTCCGCTGCGGACGGTAACCGTCGCCGAATTTTTTTCTCTTTCAACCTCCACGCGTAGTGATGCCAGCGCCCTCTTAATCGGCGAATAATAACTACGTTGGCTTGTTGGTGATATTCGATATATTAATCGAAATTTTTATTACGATATATACGAGGAACCCTAACCTAACCCTAACCCTAACCTCTAACCCTACCTCTAACCCGTAACCGTAACCCTCAACCGCTAATCTATAAATTAATAAAATTTAATTTTTCATGTGTAAAAATAATAGTTGTTATTAAATGTTGTAAATAAATAAATGTAATATTTGCGTTAATTGGAAAAAAAAATGTTAAACAGATAAAGATAGAAAATACAAGAAACACGGAAATAATTAGAAAACGGATGGGAATTTCGATCCCGCGACCGATTCAACTTGGGGCCAAGTCGCACTACCCTTGGGCTGCTTGCACATGCTTGAAATTAAAATTGGATGTGCTTATGTATACCGCAAAGAAAACACAAGCTCTAACCAATCAGGCGTCAGTACCGTCAGTAGCTGGTGAGTTGAGGGAGAAAAATAATCGGCGACGGTAGCCAGTCGGCAGGAGCAACAGCCTAATAATATGAGGCAGTGGCTCGGGTACAGGTGGCCCGTATGCGGTTCAAGGAGGCTCACAATGCGCATGCCAACGCCTAATTTTCACTCTACTACGTAGCCAACTAGCAACAATACTTCGTGTCATGCATAATCATACCTACCTTATGGCAAAATAACTCTTAGTTCCTCCCATTTCACTGCCGCGTTGTCTCTTATAAAAGGTAATTTTGAAACATACCTCGCATATGTTGTTGAGAATTCTCGCATGTTTGTTGACAGTTTCCCCAATCCCCAAGCAAACCGTGCAGCGAGTGCTGGCGCGTTACAGCGTACGGGCGCCAGCAAAGATAAAAACATGTGACGTCACGTCCACCTCGACTTCACAAGGCTATATTTGTTTGGCAACAGTCGGAGTTTGCGCCAGAATGCCAGTTTTCTCCACACTGCTTTCTTGTGGGTTTTAACATAGCGCAGTGAAATGGAGCAAGCTAAGGTGTCGTACCCAGAACTTGAGAAAATCTGCAGAACTCGAGATTGTGCAGCGATTGCGCTCTCAATACTGGCGGATTCCCTAGTTGGCTGACCAATCTCCAAGATTGGGCAAAGACTGAAACAGTCGTGATTCAAAAACTGCTGCATAGCGAGTGTGTGGGTGTGCGTTGTGCAAACTAGTAAGTAGTAGTTGCTAGTATATATAAATATTTATCGTCATATTTTTTTTTTTTTTTTTTTATCCAATTAATTATTCAAATCATTTAATATTATACAAGGGGCCAAACACATTGAGTGAAAGAAGGTATAACGACTTATAGTTATGATATAAGATTTGAAATCCTAATAATACATGTGTTGTGCATGCCCTGTTTACCTCTGTTGCCGCAATCTCACGATTGGTTGCCAAACTGGCGGATGCCTGAATTCGCATAGTTTTGCGAAGATTCAAGTTTGGGCACACAAGTTGTATTGTCATGAGTAGTGTGATTATCTGACACGAAGTTTGCTAGCTAGTATGGGAAGAAATTTAGGCGTTTGGATGCCTTGTGAGCTTTTAGCCGTTCCACGGCCGTTTTTGTCGCGAGAATAATTAGCCCGTGCAGACTGTGGCTCGAGCGAGCGTTCAACAGCGACCGTTTTTGGCCGAGCCTAATAGGCCCGAGGGCCAGATTTGGCCATCGAAAACCTCGGACCGGCGAGCCAAATTTTAGCACGGCCAGCTTTTCGGCGAGGCGTAGAGAGGTAGAATCAGGTGAGCGGTAAGATGCCGCGAGTGTCAAACGTGGTACTTCGACGAAATAAAGTCCAAAACAGTAAAAAATTCTAGAAAGATTTGATCGAGGATGCACGTTCTTCGATAATTGATATATTAACCTCGGCAGATCGTATAGTAAACACTCTATAATCCTAAATCATACGCGATCTGCGGACATACTGCCGAAGTATCTTGTGAGCTATTTGCTGGCAATAAATATTTATTTGATATTGAATTTGATTTACAGAGCAGTATTCACGATGCGTACCGTGTGAACGCTTCCGACTCAATTAGGCCGCAGAGGCCGAAATTTGCACCGAGCCTTAAATCTAGCCTCATTTGCGTCGAGCCAAAACGATGCCCGTTGTGAGAACGCGAGCTTTACATGTCTCGAGCTACGGTAGACGGGAGTCCATCCTTCGCTTTCATACTTAAGCGAGATCAAAGATGGCGGCGGTGGCGGCCAAGATTCGAAATAGACGCCTTGGGAAATAAAATTCAGACGATTTGAGAGTTTAGATGCGGCTAGAACCCTAACCTAACCCTAACGCCTAACCTAATCTAACCCTAAACCATAACCCTAACCCTAAAGCTAAACCCTAACCCTACCCCTAACGGCCAAAAGGGGGCTTCCAACGAACGACGGGCTTACGCGTGACGCTCCGCCACTGCGTAATAATTATAATACGACAAGTGGCTTGGAGTATGTAGCGCGTTCGGTCGTGTGAAGCCCCTTTTTAGGGCGTTAGGGATGTAGGTTAGGGTTAGAATAGGGTTAGGGTTTAGCTCCTCAAAATCTTCAAATGCGTGAGATTTATTTCCCAAGGCGTATTTCGAAATCTGGCGCAACCGACGCCATCTTTATCTCGTTAATGTATTGAAAGCGAATGACTCTCGTACCCCGTAGCCTCGAGACATTCTAAGATACGGTATCGGATACTGCCAGTAGCTCACTGCGCTAATTAAATACGTGACTACTAACTACTACTACCTTAGCTAAATATAGGTATAGGACGTGGATATTGTCCGAGCATCGGCAGGGTCTCCAAGAAGCACTTATACGCCTGGGCGGCCGCGCCAGGCCTACTCGTTGAGGGCCCGCCATTCCCTAGAGAGTGCAGCAGCCGCGCACTCGACAATATCATAGCCGCCTATGCTAAATCTCATAGCGCCCCGGACCCAATAGCATTTCAACTCGCTTGTGGCGCTTTTGCAAGCTACTAGCTAGGACGGCGTAAAGGCAGCACCCGCCATGCTATAATGAAAAAGCTTGGAGAATGCGCTGGCACCTCGGACACACTGTTCTTCGAGGGGCAGGGTGTGGGCGCATGCGCTATTCATGTTGTAATTACATAAATGTAATTATAATGCTAGTGACTAGGGAGGCGCGCTACGTCTCTAGAAGGCCTAACCCGAAGTCTAACGCCTAACCTAAGACTAAACTATAGACCGACTCGGTTCGCTTATATACGTCGAGTGATGGTACCGAAACACTATCTATTGGTAGTATTACCACAAGAGCAAAGCATGATGCAGGGGCGTCACAGCCGTAGGGCTTTGCCGGTAGCAAAACGACTACGGCCCCCAACGCTAAAAAGGCTCAAAAATCATAAATCTAAAGGGTAAATAGCAATTTTTAGATGCATCTAGATTTAAAGAATTGTCTGGGGGAGAACCCAGACGCGCCCCCCCCCTTCACATTTCCTACCTCCGGCACCGCGTGCCTTGCGCGCTGCGGCATGTCTAGCATGAACCAGTGCAGCGCAAACAACTGCTCGACGAAAATGAGCGCATACGGACCAGGTGTTCGATGCTCGGACGAATATCCAGCATCGTTAATAATAATAGGTATTGACTTTACTATTAGGTATTACTATTACTATTAGTATTATTACTATTAGTATTACTATTAGTACTATTACTAGTAATAGTAATAGTAATTCTAGTCGGTCACTCTTGTGACCAATATTGAATAAAAGCAATATGGCAATAATACTTTTTCGGATAGTGACATAGTCCAAACTTTTCCTACTAATCAATACGACATTATAGTCCGATGTTGCTGATAGTCTTGACTCAGACTGTCACTCTGTTCCACAGCACAGGCACTTGGAACGTTTCAATAAGAAAGTGATGGTAAAGAAACGCGAAATGTGTTTACTACCAAAGTCCTTACTCTCTATCGCCTAGTTACTAGTAGTACTAGTAGTATTATTGCCGATAATTTCCTGTAAATGCTGTTCAAATGCTCCTCTGCAACACACAATTTCACCATATGCACACACTGGATAAATATACAACCAACTGCCTCAATTTTCATATCTATGCATAGCCGAATGTTCACTTGATTGAATTATCACCCTTGCCATTTGGTACAACTTAATTTACCCAGAGTTATCTGGTTAAATCCTGAGGAAAACTCCCACCCTAGGCCAGTGTAAATGGGAGCAACTACCTGTTTATTATCCGAAACTCCCTAACCGCGCTACTCGATTGTTTGGCCAATGAACATGAACTTAGTCATGTGTGTGACATCATTCCTGTGGGAATCATGCTAGCTTGGCCTGGCAGGCCTCGTCATAAAGCTTGGATGCAGGGAGCGATTGAACCCAGGATGCAATGCGGCATCATTACTCATGTGTTACTGTTAACAAGCACCAAACTCCATTACAGATGGCGCTCTCGCTCTCGCTCAATTCACCACTGCCACAAGTAGATTTCCGTGAGAATTTTTGACGCTTTTTTACCACAAGTTTTACAGCGGCCAGGTTACTCGTATCCTATGTAATAAGATTTGTACTAATAAAAGTTGCAAAGATATTAAAAATCCGACCATTATTTCATGAAAAATTTGATGAAATAGTGATAAGAAATAGTGATAGAATTTACCTTTTTCAAATCATACTCTGTTTACGAATCGCCATTCGCTGGATTTCCCCGGAGCTCCGCCCACTTTAAAAATAGTGCTAGCCTTGCGGCAGTGGTATCCTGAGTTGTATTAAGGGGGCACTGCATGCAGTTTGAACAAGCGGTTGCTTCTATTTACATTGCCGTGGCCTGGGAGTTTTCTGCAGGAATTCACCAGATTTCTCTGGGTGTATTATGTGTTGTACCAGATTGCATTCAAACGTAACGTTGGGCTGCGTGTAGATACCAAAATGGAGGCGAATGGTTGTGTATTTTTGCCATGATGGTATGAAACGAAAATAGAACATTGTGTGAATTTCGCACACACGGTTCCTCACCTGCTGTATCTTTCTGTGAGTTTGTGCACAGCGGCGTGCGTTCGGTCAGTTTGCATTTAAAATCAGGCAAATTTTAGTGGTTCTAAAGATGTCAGTCAATGCCACTGAATCTGGGAAATTCTGTACAAACACACTGTAAATTTATAGGACGTGGCCGGATGCATTTACTTTATAGAAAAATAGAGAAATATGTATATTGAATGTTTACAATGCTGTCTGTCACTGGGTATTTCTTGAGTCTATGATGTTGCAATAATTTCAAAAGTGTATCCAGGCAATTTCTGTTGAACTCATACCATGGGTATTAAACAACTCCTTGTTCTTAGCAGCACAGCGTATTGTAGAATATATTTACTGTGGCGTACTCTTGACTGCCCATGCCGACATTAGAATCCAAACTGGCATCGGAAAAGCAAATGCTGTAACGTCCACATCTTGGGAGTGTGTGCTGTATGGCTAGCGTGGCCTTGGGCAATATACTTGGATCAAGAGTGGATAATAGAGAAGAGTATGTCAGGGTTTTAACAGCGTTTTGCATAGTTTTGAACTGGTAACTAATCTA